AGCATGGAGTCCACAGTTGGAAATGATCAGAATCTCACAGTTAGATATTTTTGACTGCCTAGTTTTTAGATGAAAATGAGTGAAATCATACTTACTTTGATGTAGTTCTCATCAGGTTTTTAGTTTTAATTCATTGGGCTATAAAAAGTTCCCTTTGTTTATTTGTGATTACAGACAAAGGCTTTCTCTAACCTGGGTTTGATGTGTTATTGCTTGGGCAGTCTTCATGTGAATATGATGTATTTTTTCAGTTGCACCCGTTTCTCAAGAACCTCCAATTTAAAATCCTGTGGGTGACCTAGTGAATTTGAATCACATGACGAATTTGGAAGCTGAATATGACATTCTCAACTTTTGGAATTTTCCATATGGTGTTGGACGTAAGGTTAAAGTAGGACAGTTTTCCCCTTATGCCTCACAGAGCCAGAAGTTGTCTCTCTCTGAGAATTTGATAGAATGGGCCACAGGAATTACAGAGGTAAGTTGCACCTGATCATAAGGTTCACAATGCACATTGTTACCCACAATTCATATGGGGATTTGTGCCACTTGGCTTATTAAAAACACACTTAGAGACATTAAACTACACCCCTTCCAATCTAAATACTTTCTTATGTTTTAGTGTCTGAGGTTGGACACTACACGTACTTGTTCCTCCACATGTTTTGATTCCATTTATTTAGAAAATCAAATTGCATGCAATCATTTGTCAGAAATAGGTATCTACAGCTTAAGAGAACAGGTTGTGCAGGACTTGAAAACCCTCTACTTGGAACAGAAGTAACATTCCCAATATGACCAATATTCATTTGATTTTTCTCAGACTCCACGTTCAGTATGCAGTGAGAGTTGCAGCCCTGGATTCAGGAAAGCCTCTCTGGAGGGAAGCTACCTGTTGTTTTGATTGCACACCTTGTCCTGAGAATGAGATTTCCAATCAGACAGGTAAGTCAGTGCCAGCCTCATGGAGAAGTTAACACATGTTTCTTAAAATATTCCTCTTCTCCATGGAAAGAAAAGGATGTGGAGTATGACTGCTGAGAAGATTCTTTTCACCTTCTGGTAGAAGTTAAACCTTATATTCAGTAATAACCCTTAAAATGATAAAAGTTGCACACTATACTTTACTGCATGTAGTATTTGCAAAATCATTTTGGTAAATTCATGTCTGTGTTCCTTGTACATAAATAGATAAAACGCTTTCAACTAATTCAAGCATAGCATGCTTGGAGTGAGAAAGCACAACTCTCATCAAACTGTGTGTAATTTGAAAAACTGTATTAGAAATTATACAGTATATCATGCTGAGGATAATACTCATCAGATATCATAAACGAGCTAACCTTAGCCTTGAGCAAAATCATTGCATATCAAAATATAAATCTTCAGGAACATTCATATGCTTACACTCATACACACTCATGAGTAAAATTTATTTTGAAAGAATACAGGCTGACATCCATGGTAAGGACAGAAATCCTACATGAGGAGTAAGTGCACAGTGGCTCCTGTTGTTGACTTTACAAATTGATACTCCTGTTTATGGCATCAGTAATCTCCCTATGCTCCGTCAAGAGTTTCAAAGGCTATGGAAGCCTTTTGAGTTCTCCGACTCTTACCTTGTTTAGACAAGGCCATGGTCAAAGTGGAAGTTCTCTCCTCCCTTCAGAGAAAGGTACCTCCTTCTTTGAAGACCTGTTCTTTCCACTGGGATCTCACTCAGAGAGACATTTCATTTAGGTGTTTTTTCTTTTTTTTTTTTTTCTCCAGAGGTCCTGGCTTTCCATGCCTGAAATACTCTCATGAGCTTTTCAGCCAGATCCGAATGCCTTTAGGGCTGATTCTGAGGCCACAGTGCTGTTTAGGACATCTGCCATTCTATGAGTCTGCTGAGTATCTCCCTTCCCATGTTGGATCACTCTCCCCTTTATTTATTCTATCGGTTAGTATTAGCAGGTACTAGACTTGTTTATGTGCTCCCTTTGACTCTTAGTCCTTTCATTATGATCAATTGTGAACTGAAATTGATCACTTGGAATAGTGAGATGGCATTGGTACATGCCACCTTGATGGGATTGAATTGGAATCCCCTGGTATGGTTCTAACTCTACCATTTGGGGCAAGTCAGCTTGAGCATGTCCCAAATTATACATCTCTTCCCTCTCTTATTCCCACTCTTATGTTTAACAGGGATGACATTTCAGTTAAATTTCAACACTTAAGAATAACTGTGTATTAATTACAGAATTAAACCAGTCATATTAAGTAGAACCAACAAAAATATAAGAGGGATAATGTATTAAGTTGTTCATTAACAGTCAGGGCTATGCTGATCAAGTCACCGTTTCTCATAGTGTCCATTTACTTCAACAGGTTTCCTTTTGGTGTTCAGTCAGTCATCACGGATCAGGGAGAACATATGGTTTTTCCCTTTGGGACTGGCTTATTTCACTCAGCATGATGTGTTCCAGATTCCTCCATTTGTTGCAAATGACTGGATTTCATTGTTTCTTACTGCGGTATAGTATTCTAAAGAGTACATATCCCATAATTTCTTTATCCAGTCTACCGTTGATGGGCATTTAGGTTGGTTCCAGGTCTTGGCTATTGTGAATTGCTGCAATAAACATTAGGGTGCAGACTGCTTTTTTGTTTGCCAATTTCATTTCCTTGGGTAAATTCCAAGGAGTGGGATGGCTGGGTCGAACGGGGGCTATCTTCAGGTTTGTGAGGAATCTCCAGACTGACTTCCATAGTGGCTTGACCAGTTTGCATTCCCACCAACAGTGGGTTAGTGTCCCTTTTTCCCCACATCCTCGCCACATGTTTTGCTAGATTCTGCATGTGAGCCATTCTAACCGGGGTGAGGTGAAACCTCATTGTGGTTTTGATTTGCATTTCCCTGATTGCTAGTGACCTTGAACATTTTTTCATGTGCCTTTGGCCATTTGGATTTCCTCTTTTGAAAATGTCTATTGAGGTCCTTGGCCCATCTCTTAAGTGGGTTGTTGGTTTTGTTTTTGTGGAGTTTCTTGAACTCTTTGTAGATTCTGGTTATTAACCCTTTATCTGTTGCATAGTTTGCAAATAGTTTTTCCCATTCTGTCGGTTGTCTCTTCACTCTCCTGACTGTTTCTTTTGCAGTACAGAAACTTCTCAATTTGATGCAATCCCAATAGTTGATTTTGGCTTTGACTTCCTGTGCCTCCGGTCTTTTCCAGAAACTCTTTGCCTGTGCCAATAATTGAAGGGTTTCTCCAATGTTCTCTAATAACTTGATGGTGTCAGTTCGTAGATTTAGGTCTTTAATCCATGTTGAGTGGATTTTTGTGTAAGGTGTAAGGTAGGGGTCTTGCTTGATGGTGCTGCACGTGGAAATCCAGTTTTCCCAGCACCATTTATTGAATAGAGTGTCCTTGCTCCAGGAATTGGTTTTAGATCCTTGATCAAATATAAGTTGGCTGTAGATGTTTGGGTTGATTTCTGGTGTTTCGATTCTGTTCCATTGGTCTATCCATCTGTTTCTGTACCAGTACCATGTTGTTTTGATTACGACTGCCCTGTAGTATGTCCTGAAATCTGGTATTGAGATGCCTCCGCTTTGTTGTTGTTGTTGTTGTTGTTGTACAAGATTGCTTTAGCTATTCGAGGTCTCTTGTGCCTCCATATAAATTTCAGCATCATTTTCTCTAGATCTGAGAAGAATGTCTTTGGTATCCTGATTGGAATTGCATTGAATCTATAAATTGCTTTAGGGAAATGGACATTTTGATGATGTTGATTCTTCCAATCCATGAGCATGGAAGATTTTTCCATTTTTTGGTATCCTCTTCTATTTCTTTCTTTAAGATTTTGTAATTCTCATCATAGAGATCTTTAACGTCCTTGGTTAGATTATTCCAAGGTATTTGATTGTTTTTTAGCTATTGAATGGGATTGATCTTAGCAGTTCTTTCTCAGTCATGGCATTGCTTGTATATACAAAGGCTGTTGATTTTTGTGCATTGATTTTATATCCTGCCACTTTGCCAAACTCCTCTATGAGTTCCAATAGTCTCTTAAAAGAGTTCTTTGGATCCTCTAAGTAAAGAATCATATTCTGCAAAGAAGGATAGTTTGACTTCTTCCTTCTCAATTTGTATTCCTTTAATTTCTTTTTCTTGTCTGATGGCTCTGGCTAAAACTTCCAGAACTATATTAAATAGCAGTGGTGAGAGTGGGTATCCCTGCCTGGTGCCAGATCTCAGTGGAAATGCTTCCAACTTTTCCCCATTCAATAGGATGCTGGCCGTGGGTTTTTCATAAATTGCTTTGATTATATTGAGGAATGTTCCTTCTATACCCAATTTGCTTAGAGTTTTCATCATGAAAGGGTGTTGTATTTTATCAAATGCTTTCTCGGCTCATTGAGATAATCATATGGTTTTTCTTTTGCAGTCTGTTAATGTGGTGAATCACATTGATTGATTTATAATGTTGAACCATCCCTGCATGCCAGGGATGAATCCCACTTGGTCTGGGTGGATGATTTTTGTGTTGTGTTGTTGTAGTCTATTGGCAGAATTTTATTGAGGATTTTTGCATCTATGTTCATTAGGGATATGGGTCTACAATTTTCTTTCAGTGTGCATCTTTCTCTGGCTTAGGGATTAAGGTGATGCTGGATTCATAGAAAGAATTTGGGAGGATTCCCTCTTTTTCGATTGTTCTGAATAGTTTGAGAAGAAATGGGATTAGTTCTTCTTTAAATGTCTGTTAGAATTCAGCAGCTGGTGCCGCGGCTCAACAGGCTAATCCTCCACCTAGCGGCGCCGGCACACTGGGTTCTAGTCCCTCTCGGGCACCGGATTCTGTCCTGGTTGCCCCTCTTCCAGGCCAGCTCTCTGCTGTGGCCCGGGAGTGCAGTGGAGGATGGCCCAAGTGCTTTGGCCCTGCACCACATGGGAGACCAGGATAAGCACCTGGCTCCTGCCATTGGATCAGCGTGGTGTGCCGGCCATGGTGGCCATTGGAGGGTGAACCAACGGCAAAAGTTAGACCTCTCTCTCTGTCTCTCACTGTCTACAGGAACATCTTAACTTGTTTGATCAAATACTGCCAGATTTTCAGCAAAATGAACTTGTAAGACACTGTTGTTGAAATAAATTCACACATAGAAATTTTAAACAATGTAAACCCAACAGTATTTTTAAATAGGTTACATTATGCCCAATGTCTTGCATAAAGTGTAATCAGTTTATAATCCTTGAAAAATAGTAATAAGAATGAGCATTTCTGAAGAAAACCATTTAATAAATTTAAGTTATCTAAGAATTATAAAAAAACAAAACAACACAAAATGCCAAAAAGAAGGATCAGTTTTCAATCCTAAAGTGTATTTTAGAATGCCAAAAACATGGAAGTTATGGCTGAAGATTGTATACAAAGTTGCAGAAAGAATGTAACTTCTGCAGGAAATTACCCATTGGTCTCTTTGTGTATATAAAAATGAAAGCCATGCAAGTTATATAAGGAAGATTTAAAATGGCATCATTTCAACTGATATTGGGATGGTGTAATACAATCAAAAATCAGTAATTGAGTTAGTAGTGCTGGAATACTAGATTAAATACAAAAGAGTATTTTTGCTTATCAATTCTGGAAAACAAAGCTCTGAAAGATGAGCACATGTAATGTCTCAAAAGTATGAACTATCCAAAAATAAGACCACCTAAACTTTGGAAGACATCTGCAGGTTGTGACAACTGACATTGATGGAGAAATGTATGGAAAAAGAAGCGGATACTGGCAGAGATGGAGATAAAATTCATGTTCAAGAATAAAAAGGCAGCAAAGTGGAAATATGCCAGTAGGGTTCAAGGTGATCTACAGACAGACTTTGATTACAGGCAGCATCCCAGTGTGTTCCTTGATGGAAATTTGCTCAAGGGTGGCATCTTATCCAG